GACGTTGCTGCTGCTGACGCTCGCCACCCCCAGAACCGACACGCCGAGCGCCAGTCCCACCGCTACCAGTCCCACCGCCTCCATTGCTTCCACTCCCACCGCTGCCTCCACCACCGTCACCAGAGCCCCCACTCCCGCCAACAGTCGCACCGCCGCCACCACCTCCACTGCTGCCCCCACCACCACTCCCGCTGCCACCTCCACCACCGCCGCTGCCACCACCACCACCCTGGCCACCCTTGCCCTTGCTGCTGCGGCGCTTCGCACTAGCAGAAGCAGCCCCGACGTCCTCAGCAACAGAGACGTCTGCAGCAGCAGCAGAGGCATAGGAGGGGGCAAGGGGGGAGGGGGAACACCCCCCAAAGAAGGGCGGACGCGGAGTGCCACGAGCAGCACCTACAGCAACTGCACTAGTCTCGGCTGCGAGGAGATGCTGGTCGAGGAGGTCAACAGTGAGGGAGGTGGGGTCAAGAGAGAGGAAGTGGTCCCTGACAGAGCGAAGAGAGTCAGAGAGGCGGGTGACTATAAAGTAGAGAGTGATGTACATCGGGGGGGGGGGGGGTTCCTGTCAAGGAACTCAGCAGGAACGGCAGCGCGGTAGCGAGCGTCACTAGCGCGAAGGTGGGAAACTAGGTCCTCGACTTTGGTAAAGGCGGACAGCTCGGGGAACAGGTAGGGCAGAAGAAGGCGGCCTAGAGCAGTAGTGGCAGAGGAGGATTAGCGAGCGAATACAGCATCGTACAGTGCCTGCGCTGTCCTGTGCTGTCCGAAGTGAGCGCATTCAGCTAATGGCAGGTGGTTGCGAATGGCTAAGCGGGCAGCAGCGTCATGAGTAAGCCTCTGTGAGCGAGTCGAACTCTCAGCTGTTGCGTGAGGGGCAGTAGCGGCGCCTAACGCTAGGTCAAACAGCGAGACACTGTCCTTAGAATCGCTCAGTAGGTACTGCTGCAGGATAGCAGTAGGAGAAGCAGTAGCAGCTGTAGCAGTAGCACTAGTGACAGTACCGGGCCGTAGCAGTAGCTGTAGCAGTAGCAGGCAAGGTACGGGGCCGGGCGCAGGCTAGGTACAGAGCCGGGTGTTGGGCTAGGTACGGGGCTGGGCGTGGCTAGGGACCGGGCCGGGCGTTGAGCTAGGTACGGGGCTGGGCGCTGGGCTAGGTACTGGGCCGGGCAGGGCTAGGGACCGGGTCGGGCGCGGGCTAGGTACGGGGCCGGGCGCTGGGCGAGGAACGGGGCCGGGCGCTGGGCGAGGGGTGGAGCAGGTCACGGGCTAGGGTCGGGGCCAGGCGCTGGGCTAGGTACGGGGCCGGGCGGGGCTAGAGACCGGGCCGGGCGCGGGCTAGGTACGGGGCCGAGCACTGGGCGAGGGGCGGGGCCGGGCGCGGGCTAGGATCGGGGCCGAGCGCTGGGCTAGGTACGGGGCCGGGCGGGGCTAGGGACCGGGCAGGGCGCGGGCTAGGTATGGGCCTGGGCGCTGGGCGAGGGACGGGGCCGAGCGCTGGGCGAGAGACAGGCCGGGCGCGGGCTAGGTACGGGCTGGGCGCAGGCTAGGTACGGGGCTGGGCGCGGGCGAGAGACGGGGCCGGGCGAGGGCTAGGTATTGGCCGGGCGTAGGCTAGGTACGGGCTGGGCGCGGGCGAGAGATGGGGCCGGGCGCGGGCTAGGTACGGGCCGGTCGCGGGCTAGGTACGGGCCGGTCGCGGGCTAGGTACGGGCCGGTTGCGGGCTAGGTACGGGCCGGGCGCGGGCGTGAGACGAGGCCGGGCGCGGGCTGGGTACGGGCCGGGCGCGGGCTAGGTACGGGCCGGGCGCGGGCGAGAGACGGGGCCGGGCGCGGGCTAGGTACAGGCCGGTCGCGGGCTAGGAACGGGCCGATCGCGGGCTAGGTACGGGCCGGGCGCAGGCTAGGAACGGGGCCGGGCGCGGGGCTAGGGGCCGACGGGCCGCGAAGGCTAGGAGCGACGGGCCTAGGGGGGGGTACTCGCAGCGTAGCAGGTGGTGGGCCCAAGGAACCTGCTCTGATTCCATTTGAAAGTAACGAACGAGAATGAATGAACTAGCAAAATGCTGGGTACAAGTACTAACCCTAATTGGGTTGTACCCCCTATGGGCTACCCCACTACAGCCTACACAAATGTATAAGCTATAATGTTCTGACAAATATTACCCCAGAGCATCAGTGTGGCCTAAATCGTTACGCTGACATATCAGTGTAACACTAATCCGTGAGAAAATTGCCCAAACACATCAGTGCAGGCCCTAAATTTCACCCTTATAATCAGTATAGCAGTATGAATTACACTGATAAAATATGCCCTAGTTCATATGGTCTTACTGGATGAATCCGTTGGAATAACGAAGGGTTATTACAGCCAGGGCCCAAAATTGGTTTTGGGGGACCTTGCCATATCAGGCTCACTCAGGCTCCTTATACTGACAGTCAGGGTCAAATAAAATTACCGAGGGCAATTCAGGGTGTTTTTCCCAGTAGCTTGTGTATGCAAGGGTATTTTTGAAAACAGCCCGATTGCAAGTGCAAAAACCAGTTTCCACCAGGCCCTCAGATCCACTTTTAGGGACGTTGATGCATCAAGGTCCATATGAAAAAAAGGATTTTCAGTGTTCCTAAAAAAAAAAGCCTGATTTTTCAGGGTTGTTAAAGAAAAAACTTGACAGAGATTTCACTAACAACTGAGAGACTCCAAGCTGTGAAAGTTCAACTTCGATAGTTGAAGTTTTGTGTGCCATGTGATTCATGTGAAGTGAGGATCAGCGACTCGAGATGCAATACTCGATATAGTCGAGCACAAATACAACGATACAGAAGGATATGCCGAAAAAAGAACCATAGCATGAAAACGATTTGACGAGCTATGCAATGCGTGGAAACGAGATGAGGAATCTTGGTGCGGAGTTGCGCAACCACGCCATTAATGAATCCGACCATCACGCTCGCGCCATCCGTGGCGATGCCGATGATCTTCTGAAGCTCCACACCAAGCTCATACAGGTACTGAACAATTACAAAGGTGAGCGAAGCTGCGTCAGTGCGCTCAACCGTGAGGAGGGTTAAGAATTCGGTTGCCACAACCGTCCCCTTGAAGAATGTAGCGTAGATGATCAGGTTCTTGCCGTGTATGCGATCCGTACTCTCATCGATGCCAATCCCGATCCACGGTGAGCTCTTCAGGTCTCGCAGTTGCAGGTCTTGGAGGTAACTCGACATCGCTCAGATCTTCTCTTTGAAACCGTAGATGCAAAGATGAAGGCCGGAGATGCAAGTATTAGTGATTGCAGATTGTACATGCAACATAAGATGATAGAACAAGCAGACGCATTAACTTACACCATATAGTACACGCCGTAGCCACCTGTGGGCGGTAGATAAGGAAGTCCCTCTCTGGCCAGGAACCAGCAGAGAGGTACAAAGAGGGCGATTGGAGCATCCGCCTTACAGATAAGCATTGCGATGTGTGTCAGAATGTATTTGCTGTTTAGCATGCAGTGGGGTACTCTGTAGTGAGTACAACCCAATTTAGGGTTTGCTATTTGTATCCCAACTTCCTATAGTGAAACCATCCCTTTCTCGATTCTCCCTTGCACAATCCTCTCGACACTCTAACCTAGCTATGACTCCTAAGCCTAAGTCACGCTAGGACTCTCACATGGTATTAAGAGCAACAATTTCCTAGGACCTAATCTCAATGGGCCCACCACCTACTGCCCTGCTAGCCTAGGCCCCGGCCCGTCGCCCCTTGGCGTCGCCCCTTGGCCCCGTCGCCTCGGCCCCTTGGCCCCGTCGACTCCGTCGCCCCGCGCCCGGCCTGTACTTAGCCCGCGCTCGGCACCGTTCCTAGCCCCGCGCCCGGCCCGTACCTCGCCCGCGCCTGGCCCGTACCTAGCCTCGCGCCTGGCTTGTACATAGCCCGCGATAGGCCCGTACCTAGCCCGCGCCCGGCCCCGTCTCCTGCCCGCGCCCGGCCCGTACCTAGCCCGTCGCATGGCCCGTACCTAGCCCGTCGCCCGGCCCGTACCTAGCCCGCGCCCGGCCCCGTCTCCTGCCCGCGCCCGGCCCGTACCTAGCTCGTGCCCGGCCCATACCTAGCCTGCGCCCGGCCCCGTCCCATGCCCGCGCCCGGCCTGTACCTCTCCCGCGCCTGGCCCCGTACCTAGCCCGCGACAGGCCCGTACCTAGCCCGCGCCCGGCCACGTCTTACGCCTGCGCCCGGCCCCGTCTCTCGCCTGCGCCCAGCCCGTACCTAGCCCTGCGAACGGCCCTGTCCCACGCCAGCGCCCGGCCCGTACCTAGCCCGCGCCCGGCCCCGTCTGTCGCCAGCGCCTGGCCCCGTACTTAGCCCGCGCCCTGGCCCCGTACCTGCCCAGCGCCCGGCCCCGTACCTGCCCAGCGCACGGCCCCGTACCTGCCCAGCGCCCGGCCCCGAACCTGCCCAGCGCCCGGCCCCGTACCTGCCCAGCGCCTGGCCCCGTACCTGACCAGCGCCCAGCCCCGTACCTGCCCAGCACCCGGCCCCGTCCCTAGCCCAGCGCCCGGCCCCGTAGCTAGCTGCGCCCCTCGGCCCCACTGGCCTCGTCGCCCCTAACTATGGCAAGAGGGGTGATGACTTCCTGCCCGCGTGCCCTGCAGTTGCACGTGCAGCTCCGCCCCCGCCCCCCTCCCCCGCCTCCCCCTCCTCCATGGGGATGGCGGGGAGAGGGTGTGAGGGGGTGGCGGATGTGCCTCAGCAGCAGCAGCTGCCGCCACGCCTCCTCCTCTCTCTCTCCCTGCCGCACCTTGTGGTGGGAGAGGGGGGGGAGCTTGGAGGTTCAGGGGGAGGCAGGAGGGGATCTGCAGCACCAGCCCCCCCCCCCCGCCCCCCCCCGCCCCCCCCCCCCCTTCTCCTCCATCTCTCTGCCGCGGGTGCAGCAGTGGGGGGAGGGTATGGGGGTGGCGGGTGTGGCCAACCTGCTGTCGCCCGAGCGGCTCCTGCACCGCCCCTTCTCCTACCTCCCCCCTGCTGCGGGTGCAGCAGTGGGGGGGGAGGGGATCTGCAGCACCAGCCCCCCCCCCCCCTCTTCTCCTATCCCCCCCTGCTGTGGATGCGGCAGTGGGGGGAGGGGACCTGCAGCACCAGCCCCCCCCCCCCCCGCCCCTTTTCTCCTCCACCCCTGCTGCGGGTGCAGCAGTGGGGGTGAGGGGATCTGCAGCAGCAGTGGGGGAGGGGATTTGCAGCATCAGCCCCCCCCCCCCCCCCCCGCCCTTTTCTCCTCTCTCTCTCCCTGCCGCACCCTGTGCTGGGAGGGGGGGGGGAGCTTGGAGGTTCAGGGGGAGGCAGGAGGGGATCTGCAGCACCAGCCCCCCCCGCCCCCCCCCCCCCCCCCTCTTTCTCCTCCACCCCTGCTGCGGGTGCAGCAGTGGGGGGGAGGGGATCTGCAGCAGCAGTGGGGGGAGGGGATTTGCAGCATCAGCCCCCCCCCCCCCCCCGCCCTTTTCTCCTCTCTCTCTCCCTGCCGCACCCTGTGTTGGGAGGGAGGGGAGCTTGGAGGTTCAGGGGGAGGCAGGAGGGGATCTGCAGCACCAGCCCCCCCCCCCCCCCCCCCCCCCCCACTTCTCCTCCATCCCCCTGCTGCGGGTGCAGCAGTTGGGGGGAGGGGATCTGCAGCAGCAGTGGGGGGGAGGGGAGTTGCAGCAGCAGTGGGGGGTAGGGGAGTTGCAGCATCAGCCCCCCCCCCCCCCCAGCCCCCTCCCCCCCCACTTCTCCTCCATCCCCCTGCTGCGGGTGCAGCAGTGGGGGGGAGGGGCTCTGCAGCCCTGTGCTGCCCTGCTGCCCTGCTGCTGCCGCTACAGCCCTTGCTGCTGCCGCTACAGCCCTTGCTGCTGCCCTGCGCGCCCCGCGCGCCCTGCAGCCCTGCTGCGCCCCGCGCGCCCTGCTGCCCTGCTGCCCTGTGCGCCCCGCGCGCCCTGCAGCCCTGCGCGCCCTGCTGTCCTGCTGCCCTGCGCGCCCCGCGTGCCCTGCTGCCCTGCAGCCCTGTGCGCCCTGCTGCCCTGCAGCCCTGTGCTCCCTGCTGCCCTGCTGCTGCCGCTACAGCCCTTGCTGTTGCCGCTACAGCCCTTGCTGCTGCCCTGCGCACCCTGCGCGCACTGCAGCCCTGCGCGCCCCGCGCGCCCTGCTGCCCTGCTGCCCTGTGCGCCCCGCGCGCCCTGCAGCCCTGTGCGCCCCGCGTGCCCTGCAGCCCTGCGCGCCCCGCGCGCCCTGCTGCCCTGCAGCCCTGTGCGCCCTGCTGCTCTGCAGCCCTGTGCGCCCTGCTGCCCTGCTGCTGCCGCTACAGCCCTTGCTGTTGCCGCTACAGCCCTTGCTGCTGCCCTGCGCGCCCCGCGCGCCCTGCAGCCCTGCTGCGCCCCGTGCGCCCTGCAGCCCTGTGCGCTCTGCTGTCCTGCTGCCCTGCGCGCCCTGCGCGCACTGCAGCCCTGCGCGCCCCGCGCGCCCTGCTGCCCTGCAGCCCTGTGCGCCCTGCTGCCCTGCAGCCCTGTGCGCCCTGCTGCCCTGTTTGCCCCGCGCGCCCTGCTGCCCTGCAGCCCTGTGCGCCCTGCTGCCCTGCTGCCCTGTGCGCCCCGCGCGCCCTGCAGCTCTGTGCACCCCACGCGCTCTGCTGCCCTGCTGCCCTGTGCGCCCTGCTGCCCTGTGCGCCTCGTGCGCTCTGCTGCCCTCTGCACGCGCCATGCACAGCCCCCCCCCCCCCCCTTCTCCTCCATCCCCTGCTGCAGGTGCAGCAGTGGGGTGGGGGTATGGGGATGGCGGGTGTGGGTGCAACTGTGGGGTGGCGGGTATGGGGGTGGCGGGTGTGTGAACCGTCCCCTTCTCCTCCTCCACCTTCGTCTCCCACTGCTGCAGCTGCCGCTGAGGGGGGTGGGTGTGTGGGAGCCGAGGGAGTGGTTCTAGGGGGGTGACGTGGGAGTGGAGCTAGGGGTGCAGCAAGGGGTGTGTGAAAGGGGGGTGGGACAGTTGGGGGAGGTTGAGCGGAGGCTGCCGTCTTGTCGTCCGCAGCACCTGTAGTCCGGGGCTCTGCTTCTGGTAGCTCAGAAAGCCTGCTGCGCCTGTCGCCTGTGGGTCCGTTGCTCCTGCCGCTCAGAGTTAGCCGCAGAGCCAGTTACTCCTGTAGTCTGGGGATACGGCTCCGGTAGCCACAGTGCGCGCCGCTCCTGTTGCCCGTGTGTCTGCAGCATCAGCCGTCGCCTCCTGTCTCCTCTCCTCTCATAGTCCAGCCTCCTCCTCCTCACTTGCCCTTTGTGAATGCCTCTAGCTTTGCTTGTACTTGTGAACCTGTTCTATGACTGCTTGCTCTGCTGATTATACCCCACTTTGACTATGGGGGTGTGTCAGAATGTATTTGCTGTTTAGCCTACAGTGGGGTACTCTGTAGTGAAAACAACCCAATTTAGGGTTTGCTATTTGTATCCCAACTTCCTATAGTGAAACCATCCCTTTCTCGATTCTCCCTTGCACAATCCTCTCGACACTCTAACCTAGCTATGACTCCTAAGCCTAAGTAACGCTAGGATTCTCACAATGTGGAGACAACGGATTATGTGGCGTGTTGATGCATCCGTGGCTTGCCAACAGGTCAGAGTCTGTTGACGCTCACGCTGCGCCTCAGCCTCAGCTTTCACCTTCAAGGCGACCTTGTGCGCCCGCGTAGCAACATGGGCGCGTATGCTGCAGAGCTGAAGATCGCGGCCACCCTCGCCCTTGATGCCGTATGTCGTGTTGGCAGCGGGATCGCCATGCAGCATGCAAATGTTGCACTTCAACGAGGGGCGGCCTGCTTTCGTGCGATGCACACGAAGCCATGTAGAACGGGAGGACCAATAAAAGTCAAAGCGATGTTTAATAATAGCACATTCAGTGTCTGCATTAGACTTCGGTAACTCCTCAGCCTCCTCTGCCGCGACACGAGGCGATCTTGGTGCTTTGTGTGGGGGCTTTGCACCCCACAGAAGTTGCTGGGTGTATTTCATGTAAGAAAGAACGAACGAGAAAATGAATGAACTAGCAAAGAGTTCGGTACAAGTACTAACCCTAATTGGGTTGTACCCCTTGTGGGCTACCCCACTACAGCCTACACAATGTAAGCTAAAATATAAGTTTGACACACCCTTATAGGCAAAGTGGGGGAGAACAAGTGGTCACAAGACCAGTCAAGAAAAGCAAAGCAAGCTCAGGTTGGATCACAAAGTCACCACACAGTCCGAGCACAAGCAAAGGCCAGTTCACATGCAGAGTTATATAAAAGAGAAAAAACAATACAGTGATAATACCCTAGCAATTGCAAGCATGCTGGTATATATATAGATCACAGTACAAGCAACGTCACGCAGTAAGCAAGTGAGGCAAAGTAGGCACAAGGCCTAACATAGTAGAGAAGCGCTAATGATCACCAGGCAGAAGTGCCTTGGTGAATATATAAGCAGTGTTGGCCCTAGTGGCCACGTACGCAAGATGAAGCTGGCCACGCTGCTGCAACTCTTGAGCAACGAAGTATCGCAGAGCGATGTGCTTCGTTCTGTGCTCCAGTCTGTGCTCCTGACACAAGGCAATCATGGCCTTGTTGTCTACGTACAGAATTGGAGGCGAACGAGGCTGCTCTCCCAAGTCAGTCAGCAGGTAGGTGAGCCACCGTAGCTCCTGTGCAACCATGGCCCCGGCGTAGATCTCAGCCTCACAACTGGAGCTGAAAACCGAAGACGAGCGGGTAGACTGCCAGGAAACAGAGCCACAGCCGAGGCTGAAGGTGTAACCCTATGACGACCGCTGCGTAGCTGAGTCGTCAACCCAGGAAGCGTCTCCGTGACCGGTGAGGACAACTGGACCCCGTCCTCCACGCACGAGCCCCATGCCCGACGTACTGCACAAGTAACGCAGTACCCTCTTTGCAGCATCCCAGTTCACCTTTCGTTGCCTACCGGGAGCCACGTAGCGAGCGAGGATGCTAAGAGGGTACGCGAGGTCAGGTCGTGTGCACGTCATTAGGTACATGAGGCAACCCACAAGCTCTGGGTACGGACCACTCGGCTCTACGGACTCGTCCGAAGGTGGAGCTGAGAGCGAGTGGCTGGTAGACAGAGGAGTGGGCTGTGGCGAGGAGAACTGGAAGCCGAAGCGCTGAAGGACCTGGTGCACCATGTGTGACTGTGTCAGGGTGATGGTGTGCCGTGCTCTGTCCCGGGTGATCCGCAAGCCAAGATAGCTGCGCAGCTCACCCAGGTCAGTGCAGGTGTGTCTCTTCTGCAGCTCCGACTTCACAAGGGTCAGTGCCTCAGTGTCAGCAGTGGCAAAGACGAGGTCGTCAACGTACACGAGGACGTAGAACGGCGGCAGCGAGGTGTCGGTGCGTAGAAACAGCGACGGGTCAGCAGTAGAAGGAGCAAACCCAAGAGCCGCAAGTGTAGTCCTCAGCGAGTCGTGCCACTCGCGAGGCGCCTGGCAGAGACCGTAGACTGGCCAGCGGAGGCTCCACTGGGTACCTGCAGGAAACGACCCAGTGAAGCCATGTGGGCGGCTCAGCCAGATCTCCTCGTGCAGGCTGCCCTGCAGGAAAGCTGTGCTGAAGTCCAGAGAGTGCAACTCATAGTCACCCTGAGCAGCGATGTGCAGCAACACCCGAAGAGTAGTCATCTTTGGGGTGGGGGTGAAGGTCTGGAAGTAGTCAACCCCTTGTCGCTGACTGAAGCTTCGAGCAACGTAACGCGCCTTCAAGGCAGGCGGAGAACCCGGCGGCCGCTTCACCGTGAAAATCCACATGCCATCGTCTATCTTCGCCCCAGGTGGGGGAACCTCGTCGACGTAGGTGCCTGTGGACTTCCAGGATGCCATCTCAGCATCCATGGCTGCCTGCCATTGAGAGGATTAAGGACCCGTAATCGCCTCTGCATAAGAGCGCGGGGTCGGGATGTCTGGTGCATCTAGGTCTCCCTCAGGGGCAAACAGCATGGAAGCGGAACGAGGTACAGCAGCTGCAAGACACTCAAAGTCCTCCTGCCTGTCCTCAAGGACGTCTGTGCCAAGGGCACACTCACCCCCGACGGACGGAGGACTGGCAGACGCAGACTCAGCAACAAGAGCAGTGGCGTAGTCTAGACGGCAGGCAGCAGCAAAGTCAAGTAGCTCAACAACGAGAGCAAACGCAGCAGCAGACTCAAAAGAAGGGTCAGTGACAGTAGTGGCGAGGAGATGAGAGACAGTGGGAATGGCAGCACGAGCACGATCAGACTCAGGGTCAGGGGCGTCAGGAAGAGAGGACTCAGGAGGAGCAGGCAGAGGAACACGCAGTGGAACAGAGAAAGGACGGAGTGCCATAGCGTGCGTGCCAAGGACAGGAGGAGGACGCGAACGAGGAACGCGATGAGCAGTGCGAACAAGCGAGACAGGACGAGACGCAGGCTCACGACGCTCTGTAAGACCGCCGGACTGCTCACTGTAAAGAGAAGGAGCAGGCAGTGGGGAGGCTGATAGTAATGGCAGCTTCGACTGGTCAGGCGGTGGACACAGGAGGGGAGGAGTAAGGCTAATAGAAGACGGGACAGTAAGAACCTGCTGAAGCAAGGGAACGAAGTACGATCGCGGCCGCACAATGCCTCCTGCACCTCCAGCTCCAGGCTCAACAGGTCCAGCTCCCGTAGCTTCAGCGCCTCCCGGGCCAGTGCTTCCAACTCCAGCTCCAGCGCCTCCAGCGCCACCAGTCCCGGCAGCTCCAGCACCCCTGGTACGAGCACCTCCAAGACCAGCAGCCGTAGGGCCTCTAGTACCACCAGCTCCAGCACTAACTCCAGCACCACCAGCTCCAGCGTCTCCAGCGCCTCAAGCTCCGGTAGCTCCAATCCGAAGGCGTGCGCGCCAAACAAGCCACTGACGCAGCTGCTGCGGAGACAGTCGCGGCGAAGCACCAGCAGAACCTCCAAACGAAGCAGCACCTAGAGGCTCAGCACCCCCTGACTCCGCACCCTCCGACTCCGCACCCTAAGGCTCAACACCCTCAAGCTCAGCACCCCCAGGCTCCACACCCGCAGGCTCACACCCCCAGGCTCCTCACCCCCAGGCTCAGCACCCCCAGACCCAGCACCCTCAGACTCCGCACCCCCCGGATCCGCACCCCTTGACGCAGTACCCCCAGACGCAACACCTCGAGCAGCAGTACCACGGAGAGGGTCTACCTGTGACACACCTGAGGGAGCAGGACCCTGGGGCGGGAGGGGGTCTACCGGAGGGAGACAGAGAGCAAGGAAGAGCGGCGGGGGCGGGGGAGGGGCAGAGCAGTAGGGGAAGAGATGGAAATAGGGAACCGAATCGTCAAACGTGACGTCCTGAGAAGGGAGGACACGGTGCGAGGTGGGGTGGTAAAACTGCCAGCCAGACGCGTCAGGGACAAAGCCAAGGAAGACGCAGGGGATAGCACGGGCGGAGAGCTTGTCCGCGGACGTATCGTGAACAAAGTCACGAGAACCCCAGACCCAGAACACCGACGCATCGCCAACCTCCCCCGTCCAACGCAGTGTGGGCGAGGTCTCTGGCAAGGAGACACGGGGCCAGAGTTTGAGCTGATGCGCAGCGTACCGGACCGCAAACGGCCACAGAAAATGGGGAGCAGCTGCATGGATCATGGAGGTACGAGCGACCCCCATGACTAAGCCAATGCGGCGCTCAGCAATCCCATTTTGCTGAGGGGAGTTCGGAAGCGTGAACGATTGGAGAATGCCCTCCCCACGATAAAAGTCCCGCAAGAGGTTGGAGGAGAGCTCACCACCTCTCTCAGAGTGCAGACGAAGGATAGGAAGGTCCTGGCCGAACCGCTCGCGGAGCTGGAGACGGACTGTGCGGATCGAAGGGATCAAGACATCAACAACCTCATCCTTGCTGCGCAAGGGGAAGACCGTGGTGTACCGCGTGTAGTCGTCAACTACCAGCAGAAAGTAGCGCTCGCGGCCCTGTCCACTGACGCGGGCTGGGCCCCACACGTCCATGTGGAGAGTCTGCAGGGAAGCAGTCGTCGGGGGAAACGAGGAGGAGTGAGGAGCGGCGCGCTGCTGCCCCTCGTCGCAAGGAAGGCAGGGCGGGGCAGGCGAGGGCGGGAGGGGAGGCAGAGACATGGGTAGACCAGAGACAAGAAGACGGGAGTGCATGCCACGAAGGTGAGGCAGGGAGGGGTGACCCAGGCGGTGGTGCCACAGAAGAGTCTGGTGCGACAGGAGGCGACATGAGCAAGAGGTGGCTACCTGACCTGACGCGGACACCTGAGCAGACGCAGCTACCTGAGGAGGCTCGGTAGCGAGTGTGTACAGACTCGACCCTAGCTGACGAGTGAACGTGGCCAGGTGACACCCCGTCCGTGTGCACGTGCAGATCGGCACACGCTGACCCCCAGGAGTGGTGGTAGTGACCATCGCATCCTAGAGGGCAGCGGTACTCACCAAGTTCATAGAGAACGAGGGGATGTGAAGACCTGACAGTGAGCCGGACGGAACCGCCGGACACAGGAGGACAGTGGAGGAACAGGCAACGACCGGGCCCCCGGAGGGGTCAGCCAGTCTGACCGGGACAGGTGCAGGGAGAGGACTGAGGGTGGTGCTGTCACGAAAGAAACAGCGCGAGGTGCCTGAGTCCAATGTGAAGGTGTGCAAGGCCTCAGCAGGCGCAGTACCAGGGAGAGTA